CGAAATGAAAACAGAAGTATGTACGATTATAGGTTCTATTTATTTGATTAAAGCAATTTTAATTGAATATTTCTTCAGTAAATCAATAATTAGAAAAATAATCATGTTCTAGATAATAGTCTCAACTCATATTATTGATAAAGAATATCGTTAGAAAAGGTTTAAAGAAAATCTTATGAGTCTTAATTATAATAAAACTTATTATTTTTCGAATGAAAAAAAAAACACGATTAATAGAATTTTTAATGTAATACATTTTAAAATTGCTAACAATTATTGATAGTCTTTGAAATCAATCTGATAGATAGTAATATCTTTAAACAACAATTGTTAATTTTATATATTACGTTTGTTCTATTAAAGAATATTTTATTCTTAGTGATTATCTCAAATTTTATCTTTTTGTTCGTTTTCAAATAGGGGTCAATTATTTTCGATATTTATTCGACAGAACTAATACTACTTGCTTTTTAATCATTAGTTGAATAACAACATATGGATCTATTTATTGTAGCTTTTCCTAACATTATCAAATAGATATGTTATGTTTTTTTTTCTTTATTAAAATAAACTTCTACACTTTAAAATATTCTTATATATGAAACTTGAAACTATTAATTTATGCTTAATTAATATAAATATAATTGTTCCATCGTCTTGTACAAAATTCAACTGAAGATGTTCCATCATTATCAATAGAATAATATTTTATCATTAGTTGGTCTAATACGAAATAAAAATTTTAGAACGTAAACGTTAGAAATAACTTTTTTAATACTTTTAAAAACTTTTCTTTTATATTTCGCCTTATAGAGTTTGAGGAGTTATAAATAATACTCTTCACTTTATTTTTCTTAAATCGAATTATTTTTATTCATTAATCAATATTATGGAAAAAATATAAGTGTATTTTTATATATGAATTTTTTCGTTCAACTCGTCTTCTTTATAATAAACACTGAAATAATTGATTTTAAAAGTTTCGATTTGAAAATTTAGGAAAAATAAAATAATTCAAAATATAAAACTAATTTCTCGTAATAGAAATCAGCTTCTATTCTTTGGTTCAATGTCAAAAGGCGCTTAAAGCTCTCATGTTTATCTACATGATAGTATAATATCATCCATTTATTTAAAGACAAAACTTTATTTTAAATTATTAGTTTAATAATGAACTAACGGCAAAAGATTCACTCTCGACTTGATATAGTTTAGTAAGATGTATGCTTTAATTTTAGATAAATAACTTCGAGCAGCTGATAATAGTTTTCGTCAATTATTATTATCGTTATGAAGAAAATCTACTTCGTCTTTCTCTCTTTGCATATTTATTTTTTGCAATTATTATTCTAAATAATAATTATCATTTTATTTACGGTTTTTTACTATAAAGAACATATATTATTAATATGATTGAAGTTAGAGAATTAAGCATAGTGCTTATCTTTATTATCATTTTGTCCTAGAGATCGTAAATCAGTTGGAAATCGTTTGTTTAATATAAATATACTTATTTGAATAATTTATAAAAATAAAACAAGTTATTGTTATTATCATTAAAATTCTTCGAACATTTCAACGATTAAATTTACATGAAAGTAGCCTTCTTTTTTTTTAATAAATTCCAAAATTTCTTACATTACTCTACCTCTACCTCTATTATATTTAGCTGAATTAATTGTTTGTTTTACTATTGAAATTATGTAAACAGTTGATAATAAAAAAAATAAACAATTATTAGTAAAATATATTTCATTATTTTGAAAAATCTTATCAATAACAATATGAATAGATGTTATTAAATGAGATTGTAATAGTCTTCATTTTGAGGATGATGATTTTCTACTTGAGATAATTAAAAGAATTATTTTCGAAAAGACATAAAACTAGATTTGATGCATAAGTCCCGATAAATGTAACTTATAAAAAAACAAATATTATCACGACTTCTGATTTCACATGTTTGTATGAAATTAAATTTGTTCAAATAGATATTTATACACATCAGGAAAGTTTCAATTCAACTAAAGAAAAAATATTTGTTTTACTGGGTCGCGTTCATTTGGCCGACAATCACTTGGCCGACTCATCACTTAACCGACACCACTTCGCCGACAAATTGTTTGGCCGACATGTACACTTCGCCGACAACTCATTTGGCCGACAAATATTTGAGATAAAAAAAATTGAAATTTCTTGAAAATATTGCGTGGATTTTTCCCACTCATTCATCTATAAATAGTGAACATTTTTCAAAATAAAATCAGACGACGATTTTTTATCAGTTAAAACAAGTCTCCCGCTAACAAACTGTTTCCCGTGAGATAAGTTCGATTTTCTTCGGGGCATTGCCCATAATCTTTCATTGTAAATAAATGTGACTTTTGATAAAAAGATTTTCTGACGTAATATTTTCAAGAAATTTCATTTTATTTTACTTCAAATATTTGTCGGCCAAATGAGTTGTCGGTGAAGTGTACATGTCGGCCAAACAATTTGTCGGCGAAATGGTGTCGGTCAAGTGAGGTGTCGGCCAAGTGATTGTCGGCCAAATGACTCGGACCCGTTTTACTTTGACATTATTTATCTGAAAGAGTTTTAGTGACATAGATATCAAATAACAAAATTCAGATTTTCAGATAATAGGAATTTTTAAAGAAAGAATTTAACCTACATTAGTACTATGACCGAGCGAATTATTCATCTCAAATCTTTCTGATAAAATACAGCTAAACAAAACAGTATCTTCATTATATAATTAAATCAATAATCGTGAAAATAATCTAAATTAATTCGTTTATTTTTATTTTAAAAGATAATTATAAATATTCATATAAAATAAATAATAGACATTGAAGGGGGGTGAGTGTGTGGGTGTGGGCGTGGGTGGGCGTATTCACTTCCACTATATCCATACCCACACCCACACATCCACATCCACACCCACACCACACACCCACATCCACACCCACACCCACACCCACACCCACACCCCACACCCGCACCACACCCGCACCCACACACCCACACACCCACACCCTCTTCAATTTTCTGTAATCATCACTTTTCATTATTGCTCTCTTCATTCGTAAAAAATGGCTATTTGTTGGCTACGTGACATTCCGATATGATCAATCCTGTGTCACAAAACAAGTGAGCATTAATGTGAACTTTTCTTCAAACATTACGCAAAATTGAGCTCTATTTATCTCACCTATAGCATCCTTCGAAACAGAAGCTACTCATTATTAACTTGCAAGAGAGCCCCCAAGAATATCGTATTTTTCTATTTGAAGCTGCCTGTAAATTGATGATATTTCAACCATATTTAGCGGTCCTATTAAAAATTTCAATGTATCAATAATCAGCACAGAGTTTCTGATCAATTGATATAAATAACTTCTTTATAAATCGAAAAAAATTTGTCGGTCTCGGAGCCCTTGAGGCGGATGCGCAAATCTCATTGCAGTAAGAATGACTGTTATTATTATTATTTCTTTTTCACATTTTTATTTCCAGTCACTAGGTTCGATTTAGACATCAGACTCTAGAAGAATCTATAAATATCTTATTTTCGTTTCAAAAGTAAATTTTTTCCATATTCTCGCATCTCTTCCATGGGTCTATGTACAAAAACGTTTTTTTCTTTTTAGGATGTGGGTGTGGGTGTAATAGTGAAAAGTAGGAAAATACTGGCATCCACTTCCACACCCTCAGTGTTTTCTTTTACCTTGACGCAACTTGAACTGCGACCAACAAACGAATTGAAGTCACACACGAACGGCTAACGAAACATACTTATAGTTTGAGAGGAAAAAAGAATAACTTGCTTGCCAAATCAATGATTACTCTCTCTTTTCATTGTGTTTATGGATTGGTGAAAAAGATCAAGTAAATGAAAATTCTCATCATTGTGGTAGTATACTGCAATATTTCGGTAGTTTTCACCAAAATGCATACGATAGATTGTCAAAGTTTTGCTGTATGAAGTCGAGAGCTGTTTTTTTTGCTTCTTTATGACAGTGTATACCTTTCCTCTATATTTCAATAGACAGTGCTTATTCTTGAAAATGATCATTTCATTCCAATGAATTTCGTGAATGAATTAGTAATGCACGGTTGACATGAAAAGTGAACTGTTGCACAATATAGAGGAACGTCCAAAAAGCATCGGTGTGTAACATTTCTGTTTTTTGTTAAAACAGTCTCTAATACGGTTTTGCTGTTTTAATTTCTATTTTCATACTCGCACACTTATTGTTTAATAGTTTCTCACACAACATAGACTAAAGTGAACACGATCAGTTAGCTGGATATGTTTTGACCAAGATAGGGCACTCTTTGCATCACATAAATCATCGGAGCTGACAATGCAAAAGTTGCTTGTTATACATTCTTTCTTGGATCTGTCTTGGGGCAAAAGACGATATATTTGGACAAGATATACAGGAGTGCTTGCTTTCATTTGCGTAGAAAGACTCTGATAAGCAACTGACAAATGCGCAGGTTGATGGTAATCAGCAGTTATTCTTTTTTTAACTTCCAAAGAAACAAAATACAGTGAATACTCAGGTGAAGTTAAATCAGTATATGTTGACAACGATGTGATAGTGTTGTCAGTGACACTGCGAAAGCACACATTTTGAGACACTTTTATGCAGAATAATGGATGACAATATGAATGAAAGACGTTGACAACAAAGAAAATACTGATAAAGACATTTGTAAAGAACTAATGTGATATCAGTCATATTGAATAAGTTTTGAATAATTTTTATTGTAAACGACGCACCTTTATTTGACTGTCCTTGGAGACAAAACGACATTTCTTATCGATCCTCGAACATACATCTGAAAGCCAAAAAATACTCACCTATCCCATCTATTTCTGTAGTTCTCATGAAAGTACAGTATTATTATTCACGAACAACATCAGTTATAATGCTATCTATTGTCTGGTAAAAAGATTGATACTTTATCGAGATCAAAAATGCCTGTAATATCGATGTGCAGTATTCGAGATTTAGTGCTATCTCTTCCTAAAGGCTTCCAAATACATCTGCCCAATGATTGGTTGAATACAAATGTTTTGGGTGGTGGAGCATCAGAACGTGAGTCTTATGGATGCAAAGATGTACCTTAACGCGGTAGCAGTGACTCCCTCAATACATCCCATTGTCCGATTTAATAAAAAAGTCCAAATAATGTCATGATTTTCGTTTTCGAGAAGTTTCCAAAAACTCCGATCTAAATTGTGTCCACATAATAATAAACGATATGATGACTTTGACTTTTTGAGATTCATCGAAGTCAAGAAAGTATACTGATGATAGCGTAAATAAAACTGTTCGATATCTTGGTAGAGTAAGCAAAGAAGTGCTGTTGCTTTTGGTATCAGAAAAAGTGTTTGAAATAGCCGTCTTAATTGTTTCATTCTATGATAGTCTTCTTGCTGGAACAGATCTGGTAGTCAGGGATACTCATCACTGCTTTCGTTTGGTATTATTAATGAAAAATGTCCTTGTCTTTCCTCCGATTGCAAGACTAGCGATCGTAGATCATAAGAAATCCTACCTACAATTCTAGATTAGAATTTTTTGAGATCAAGAAGGCGTTTGTTCGTATATAACAGATCTCCAGTGGACTGTAACCAATCATTCATAGGTCATAGAACGCAAAGACTTGATTCAACTTTCGGATTCCGAGTGAAAGGTTTTATAATACTTCTCTCTTCTCGATTACTACACGATGTATGAAACGAAATCAAAATAGAAAAAAGAATCAATTAAAATATGTGTTGCATTAAACAACTTAGAAAAGATACTCCGAGTATGATCAAAGACGAATGTAAGAAGACCATAGAAGAGTCAGAGCGCGGTGTTGTTGTCGTTGTTGTTGTCATTGTTGTTGTCGTTGTTGTTGAAATGAATGATCGTCCGTTACACAATTCAGATGAACAGCAACATATCGTTACGATTACGCCGCTTACTGTTTTTGTTTGACAGGCATTTTCCCCAGCAAGACAACCACTGACAGGAGCCACCATTCGAGTAATTACATCAATTCCCATAGTAGATTCTCGCGTAGCCTAAAGTCAAAGTTTATATCAGTTAATTTCTCACCCATGCAACTTACCACACAAAGGAAGCGTGGGAGTGCTTCTACGATCCTGACTCCAGACATATCATTCATTATTCTTGAGGACAAGATTTCAGATCGAGGACGGTTATCAGGAGAAAAGATCCCGTGAGTTTACTGAATTTTTTCTTAGCAGCCGGATTGAATGGTTCACCACAACCCGGTGTCGTAGTGCTCGAGCACAGGTAACAATTATAAGCATGCGACACACTAATGCTTATTAGAAAAAGAAATGCCACGATTCCTATTCGTTCAAAGACGACTCGCGTTGAAAAATAAGGGAAAGAGAACCACAAGAACGACATCAGTTAGGAGTCGATGAAGAAATGTAATGTGCGTCGTATGGGTTTGCACATTTTATCTGTACGCGCTTGGGGAGCTTTATCTTTCAAGTGGAAACAACAAACAACACCTTCACTTGACACTGCGGGTATGGGTATGGGTGTGGGTGGGTGTGGGGTGTGGGGTGTGGGTGTGGGTGTGGTTACGGGGCTGGGAGACACCGAGACCGAGAGTCACACCCACACCCACCCACACTCACACCCACCCACACCCACACCCACACCCTAGATATAGCCTATTATAATCTAGCTTATATTTCAATACCTTTTTCAATAAAACGTTCAAAAATAAGGAAACAATATTGATGTATTTGAAAATTATCTATTTCGTTTTTTTGTTTAGATCTTATTACAATCGGCATTTCGATTAAACTTTTCTCTTCGATTATGGAATTACTATAGGTAAATATAAAATTTAATTTAATATAAGATAATTTCAATTTTATATAAATAAAATTTTGTTAGAGAAGAGCGTTAAAAATGACCTATTCATTGATATTTTAATTTTAATTGTTCGATGTTATTGTTTAGGAAGTTGTTAATAAAGCCAAAAAATATTCATCATCACCATTTGCATCTACATCACCAATTTTTAATATTGATCCAAACATTGATTTTTCTAATCGATGAATTAATATTGATTATTCCACAAGAGAACCATTATTTGATATTAAAAATGAAAAAGATGATGTTAATAACATGACTTTTCGTTTATCTTATCAATCAATTGCTATGCTTAATAAAATTATAAAGTTGTTGGATGATACAGGTCTTTCATTTAACAATAAATTTCGTCTTGAACTTCGACGTGCATCATTTAATCATAAAGATATTAAAAATCAATCATACGAATTGAGAATGAACGTTGATCCAGTTACTTGGTTTAATTTACAATGGTGTCAATGTGGTGATATTTGAAAAATATCAATGTGAATGTCTTGAAAAAGTAGGATTGCCATTTTCTTGTCAGTTGTATTTTAAGTTTAGATTTCTATAAATTTCAATGAAGAAATTTGACTTGAAATTGTCTTTAGTTTTATTTTATTTTTCAACCTTAATTCTACTAATTAACCCTTTACGAGCCGACTTTTTTTCAAGAAGTGGTAAACGGTATCGTCAGAATCAGTTACAATCTAGAAATTATAAGCTGTATACCTGTTGCGCTAGCTCTTGTTTGTAGAGTGAGACAACGAACTTTCTGATAAACAAAGATACAAAATATACAATCATCCCACTTCAAAATATCCAAAGATCTTTCACCTTCTGTTTCAGTTGTGTGCCTGATATATACGGGCACGGTCCGTAAAGGGTTAATTAGATAAAATAAGAATAAAAAAATAAAATTTATTTCAAATTAAAGTGATCTAAAACTGATTCGATTTATGTAAAATATTTTTTGTATAGATATCTTAGCCATGAAAATGTTTATAGACATGTTCGTATATAAAAAAAAGTATCGTTCGTTTGTTCCTGATCAAATACCATCTATATCATTACACGAATCGATCACAGCTTCTTCTTACTGTGAATACCAATTAACATGTAATAATAAAAAAATTTTTCTTAATCATCCAAAACATACGGACATTATATGCTAAGCTATAGCAAAGGAGCAAATAAATGATGGTAACCATCACACATTGGGAAGCTTTCGCATAAGCAGGTGGATATGCAACTTTCTTATTCGAAAACGGCTTTTATTTGCTCAGAAATGACCGTATATCACTCAGGAAATCCCATTTAAGAAAATGAAAGCTTTTTTAAAGCAAAACTTTTGTTGACGAGAAAAACCTGAGGGGGACCCTTAGGCTTTAAGCAGCTTTCGCGTAAGCAACTTAAAATGCAACTTTCTTTCATGAAAACGGTTTTCTTTTGCTCAGAAATGATAGTATATCGCTCAGAAAACCATATTTAAGAGGGAAAAGCATTTTCCGAAAAAAAAGTTTTTGATGAAATATGCCTGGAGGACCTCCATCCTATCTTATTTCGGAAAATTTTTTTTGAAAACTGCTTTGAGCTTTATGTCATTCGATGCAGTTTGATACGCTGATTACGAATATTGCCTTAATTTCTCTCCAAAGTGCAATTTTGATGGCAAAAATCGAATTTTCGATCAAAAACTCGGATTTTTTGGGAAACCTCTAAAACAGCCTAGAATATATTTCACAAGTTGGTGCTATTGCCATCATTAGGGTACATATGTAGGAGTATCTGGTAAAAATTTCAGCTCGATCAGACATTATCTCTTTGTAGAGTTTACAATATACGGAACGGTAGGTTTTCAGGTAGGCTTTCGACCTAGAAACTCTTTGTTTTCAACTCTATTTTAAATTGGATCACGATCATTTTTTTAGCATAAAGCCCACAAGTGAGGAAGTTTTTTGTGATATTGTTTGCTTGTGGAATATTGTGTTATATTACCGAGTTGCTTGACTTTATTTATGCCGATTTCTGGACCAAAATCTTGCCAGACTCTTTTCTTGGGCTCTATACAGCTTTGAGAATCGCTACTTTAGAAAATGATAGATCACATATGCATGTATCCACGCAAATGGTTAGATTCTGGAAAAGAATATTTTCGCATGTGTCCGCCTGGCTCTTCACTGTGTATTAATGTTGTCATACCTGTTTGATGAATATATTGTGATGGAATGATCTGTGACATCGAGTTTGTATTAATTTTGTAGAGAGAAAAACCTTTTAGGTTTCATTTGAAAAAATTTTATTTGAGTTTTTCTTGTTTTGATTTAATTTATTTTAAATGATGTATGAAAAAAATTAATATCGAACTTACAATATAAAAAAGTCTCATGTTAAGTACATTAATAAACACTATCTTATACAATAGTTTTATTTTACAAAAATTTTATCATTGAAATATTTTTTTGTCTTAAAAGATTCGAAATAAGCTACTAATAATTATACATTTGGACTTAAAAATGGTCAGATAAAAGAAAAATATAAATCATTGTTAGTTCTTTTAGTTTAGTCTCTTTTCGGAACATATACTTCTCTATTCACTTGATATTTTCTTAGATGACAAATTCATAAAAGAAAATAAACTAAGAATTTTTATATTCAATCTTTTTTTTTAAGTAAATAATGAAGCTGTTAGATATCATTTATTTTGTTGTTAGTGTTTTTTCTGTTCTCTATAAAATCTTAAAACAAGTAAACAGAAAATATTTGAAAGATAAAATTTTTATTTCAATGATGTTTTTGGGGTTCATCTACACTTTAGAACATAGTTCTTATCTCACTTACTAATCATGGTTTAGTAGTAGTAACAGATAATTTTCTTCAAAATTTGATTCTTATGAAAAATTACATAATGATATAATTATTTCTGTATTTGTTTTCTTATTAGATGATAGAAATAAACATAATTGAATACAAGAACTTTTCGAGTAGTATGTCATTCATTTAACTATTAGAAAGTATGTTCATTATTATGTTTTTTATTAAAATTTTTTGTTTGATTTATTCTTTTTAGACCTGCTTAGTTAATAGTATTTCCCAATTTATTATGTAATGTTTATTGAATCATTGCAAAGTATAAGTGCATCTGATCGAAAGTTTACTTGATAATAAACGAGGATATACGTATTTGTTTTATTCCTTATTCATCATCAATCAATGGTAGTTGTAATAAAATGTTATCTATATGAAAAATTCTTATTCCAATCATTGGTCTTATAACAAAACATTATATATGTGAAAAAATTCTATATAAAATTCTATTACTAACATTAAATGCAATTCAAGAAGCTGATTGTTATCGAAAAAGAATACAACGACATATTGCTTAGGTTAATTTAAAATAAGAATTTTTTTTTTTTTGTATTTAATATTTGTTTTTTTTTAATAGTTATCAATGGATGATGATTATGAAACAGAAGAAAATAATCTTTTACTTGAAATGATCCATGCATCATTAATTGCTTATATTGTTGCAGATTTTTTTGGTCAATTATTATTTTATTCTATTGAAACAATTGTACATCGTCTTCATGTACAAGGTGTTCGTTCTATTGTTGATAATACGGATACCGCTGTCGGCGTATTGCCTATTGATTCATTTATATATTATAGAGATTTTCGGTCTTGTTTAAAATCAATCAAAGAGATGGAAGCAAGTGCAGATTTATACAAAGATATGGGATGTGTATCTACTTAAATTTTCATTATTATATGGTGGAATGTTGTTGGCACATGGTGTCATTAAAAAATTTTTTATTGATCATAGATCTTCATCACCTTCACCGATGACAACATCCAGTTGGAAAAGAAAAGCAACAACTACGATAACAAATAAGAGTGGACAATAGTAGTTAGTCGCAAGATTTATTTTCTTCTTTGGATTAAAATTAGGATGAATAGAACAATATTGAAACTATCTGCTGACTGTTTTTTTTTGAATGAAATAAAAATATATATGTTAGCGTCCAATGTCGGATTCAGTCCAATCTCGGATTGGCCTAGGCGAATTGTAGATGCTTACATTGGTCTAGTCCAATATCGGATTGACGCAATTCGGTTCCCTAAAATATCAATTACTCTTGAGATAGATGTTGGATTCGAATTACTTTTTGAAATTATGTTCATATAATGTTGATTTGTTTATCACAATCGTCATTAGACAGATTTAAGTTAAAGTTTAGGAGTTATGAATAAATTTCTACAGAACAACAACTTTTATGAAAAGTTGTTATTAAGTTCTTCAGTCTAAATTTGACTTCTGCCTGAACGCCTGCAATATTTAAAACGGCATTGTACGAACATAATTTCAAAAAAATAATTCGAATCCAACATCTATCTCAAGAATAATTGATATTGTAGTGAACCGAATTGCATCAATCCGATATTGGACTAGTCCAATGTAAGTATCCACGATTCGCCTAGGCCAATCCGAGATTGGACTAGTCCAATGTAAGTATCCACGATTCGTCTAGGCCAATCCGAGATTGAACTGAATCCGACATTGGACGCTAACATATATATATATATATATATATATATATATATATAAAGGTTTCTTCGAATCAACACTGTCACTTTCACATGCTGATTTATTTGCAGATACATCAATGGCTCAATATTCTCAAAATACTAGTTGGAAACGTGTGGATCGTTCTGAATCAAATCCTAAAGAACATCAAGCTCATAGAGCATGGTCATCATCAAAAGACGATGAAAGTAATCAATATTCATGGTGCAAATTTGATGAAAAAGCAAGAAACTTTCAAAAAAATATGGAAAAAGTACAAAAGGTAAAAAAGAAAAAAAAACAAAGCAATCGTTATATACTTGTTTCTTTCATCATAGAATATATATAGTATGATTCTTATATAAAATTCTTTTTTTTTTTTCATTTCAAAATTTTGAATTTGAAACATTATTTATTTCATCATGTCACATATTTCATATCTTGTAAAAGAGATTTGAAAGTCAAAAACATGTTTGACTAATTCTTCTTGATAAATTAATGTCTTATTTCATAAGAAAAATAATACAATAGATTTTAATATAATAAAATTAAAATAGTGATAATTTCGATTTTAAGTAAATAAAATTTTGTTAAAGAAAAACGTTAAAAATGAGTAATGCGCTAATATTTTGCTTTTAACTTCTGAACGTTTTTTTTAGGAGCTCATCAATGATCTTATGAAATTATCTTCATCATCTACACCAGTGGTTTTTAATACTAATCCAAACATTGATTTTCTACTCGATGAACCAGTATTGATTGCTAATAGTGAACCATTATTTGATATTATAAATGGAAAAGAAGATATTAATAACATGGCGTTTCGTTTATCTTGTCAATCAATTGCTATGCTTAATAAGATTGAAAAATTGGTGAATGATACAGGTCTTCCATTTAACAATAAATTTCGTCTTGAACTTCGACCTGCATCATTTTATAATAAAGATATTGAACATCAGTCATGGGAATTGAGAATGAACGTTGATCCAGTTACTTGGTTTGATTTACAATGGCGTCAATGTGGTGATATTGAAGAAAATCAACGTCAATGTCTTGCAAAAGTAAGATTGCCATTTTCTTGTCAGTTTCATTTTAAGTTTAAATTTCTATAAGTTCCAATTAACAAATTTGACTTGAAATTGTCTTTAGTTTTATTTTATTTTTGAATATAAATTCTACTAATTAATTAGATTAAATAAGAATAAAAAAAAAAAATTATTTCAAATTAAACTAATCTAAAATTGAAAGGATTTATGTAATAAATTTTTTATATAAATAACTTAGCCCTCTTATGTTTAGGCACGTTCGTACATTAAAAAATATCGTTCGTTTGTTCCTGATCAGATATCACCTAAATCATTATACAAAGCAATCACAGCTCCTCCTTACTGTGGAAACCAATTAGCGTGTAGCAACACAAATCTTTCTCATTCAAAACATGTAAATATTATATGCAGAGCTATAGCAACGGGGCAAAGAGATGATGGAGATCGTCAATGTGGTCAATACCTGATGGATGAATATATTGTGATGGAATGGCCTGTAACACCAAGTATGTATTAATTTATAGAGAAAAAAATCGATTATATTCCCATTTAAAAAACTTGATTTGAGTATTTTTTTTGTTTTTGATTTAATGTGTATTAAATGATACATGAAAAACTAATATCAAACTTAAAGTATAAAAAAAAGTCTTATGTTAAGTACATTGATAAACACTATCTAATAAAATAGTTTTATTTTAGAAAATAAAAGAACAATAATAGATAATCATTTTTTTTAAACCTTTATCTATCTCAGTATTCATTCTTGTTTTTGTTGTTTATTTTTGTGCATGCATTAAGCAATGCTTCTTATGCTACATTTTATATGAAGACTATTACAAAATTATTTTATATCAATATTTTAAATGTTTTCTTTTTTTATATCTAGTTATGCAATTATTGGAAGATGAAACATGTAACTTGGTGGAACAACAAATGGACGAAAATTTCAATATAAATCAATTACGTTTTATTTTTTCGGTGAATCGAGAAATTATTCGTGATCTCATTATCTTTCCTATGCCACCATGGCATTTATCAAATAGACAATTAATTCAGTCACCTCTATTTTGGGCTACTGCAATAATTTCAAGTAAAATGTTACATCGTCAATTACAACAAAAATTATTATCTGAAGAACAAATGTGGCCAGTTGAAGCTATTGCAATTAATTTTGGTGAATGGGAGACTACTGGATCTTACGATAAACGACATATTGATTATCATGCTCATGCACATTTGTTGCTTACTTTATCTTTTAGTACTGCATGTGATGATACATTTTTTCGGACACTTAAAGGTCGAGTAATGCAACCACCAAATTATCTACGACAAAATACGAAATTATTACACTTCGAGAGATTACAAAATCATGAATTTGACTCGAAGCAAATGGCTGAACTATCTACACGATTGACTAGTGTAGAGAAAAAACAAGATTTAATGAATAATGATTTACAAAGTGTAAAAACTAATGTAGTGGAAGTGAAAGATTTGTTGAACAACTTATTTGGTTATTTAAAAAAGATGCTTGGAACATCTACAAAAGCCACATGAATCGTATTTCATTAATTTTAAAATAAAAAAAAGATTATTCAGATAAATTCATTTTTCAAGCTTATAAAAAGATAAAAATAATTTTATAGACATTTATAACAAAATTTTAATTGGAACAAGAAAATCATTGACAGCTGTTGGTTTAATTAATCACATTATTGGTTATATGAAAATAAAAATTTTAATTTGATTATATCAAAATGGTTTCTTTCCATTGCAATATAGATAAAAACGGAAAATTTTATTGAATATAAATAGGATAAATATTGTTTTGAACAAGATTGAAACATTCACTATAGAAAATAGAAATAAGAATTGTTTGAAATCCATTTTTGATACGTGTTATTGTTAATATTTGTCTTTGTTTAAAATTATTACTATAAAAAGTAACTTATTTGGATATCCATGTGAAACAATTGTTACATTGCATTGATTTCAATTGAATAACAACAATATAATTTCTATAAATTCGATATGATTGATTAATAAGGCAAACTTGAACTTTGATTTAAAATTGTTTTTCATGTTTATGAATAATAGAAGAGTCTAAACATAATATCTCGACCAATTTTTTGGAATTGAATCGAATAATTTCTCATCTGATTTTTTCATTAATATAACTTTATAATTAATTGTTACTTGAACAATATACTATCCTCAACGAACCACTTGAATAAATTGAAGAGACATTGTTGTATTTTTTTTTAAATAAATTTCTTCACATGGATAACTTTCTCTATTATCAACTTGGCATATTACATTTGAATATAGAAGAAGATGTATCTATGAGGCATTGGACTTAAGCCACGACCAATCTTAGTATACCGCTGCTCAATCCATGTCACCGATTTTGGTGATATTCTTACAGTAGGTAGACCTAACAAAGTTGGGGGTGTGGGTGTGGATGTTTTTACGTTCATCAACCTCGACAGGAACACGTACACTCCAACCTCCACCCACACCCAAATTTGCCTAAAAAAAAATTCAGAGTTTATGTACCAACGGGATGTTACTTTCGACAATCAGATTAATGAAAACATTGATTAAACTTATTGTCAATCGTTTTCAATTTAACTTCCAGAATCTCATTCTCAATTATATATATTAACTAAACATATTTGATTCGATGTTGAAGATATTCTCTATTTAGATTTATTTTTTCAAATGCAAACTCAGAAAATAAATTCTTGTTATGAAGTTAATTCATAGTGCAATAAAAACAGCATGCTTTTAATTGGAAAAAAATAATAGCAAGATTCGTAAAATGATTTTAATGCCATTCTCTTTAGCAGTATAACTAAACTAGAGATTTTGATGGGAATCAGATTGGTCAAGTAAAAGACGAAAAACATAATTTTGATAGTTATTAGATAAAGGAAATGAAAGCATTATGACAAAAGGATTTATTGAGGAAAATATATACAAAAATCCATCATCAACCAACATTAATCTTTTCGAAAGGAAAAATGGTTTAAAGAAAATATCTAAAATTCTCTTCAATCTATAATTGATGTTATTAAAATAAATGTGAGTTTGATAAGTAAATAAAATGGTACTTTATATATAGAGAGACCGATTTTATTTAACGCAATGTTTTCACTGCATCATATTTTTGTTGCTTTAAATAAATTGATATATATTCATTAATAATCAATAATATATAATGATAGAACGGGTGTCATATAAACTATGAGCTAGTTTTATAACGATTTTTCTCAATGTAATTAATTATCGAAAACTTTCGAAATAAGTTCATTCCAGAGAGACTTAAACACAACAAAATCAAGTATTTGATTTTCGGACAACATGTTCCCTCTTTATACAGTTTCGGATATATAAATTGTATTTATTTTTCAGGCTGGTCCATCTTGAAAAACTAGTGAGTCAACTTATTAGAACGAACAAGTTTTTCTTGAAATTTGACAATATATGAAAAAGTTCTCCATAAAATTCTCTATAATTTTTTAAGTATTAGACAATTTTTTGAAAGGACGTTTTACTGAAAACTCATAACGATAAGTATGTGAAGGTAGCCTATTTTAAACTCATCTTCGAACCTATCTAGTTCTTTTTTAATATTTCCACAAGAGTTCATGGAGATCGTTTTATCAGTCATATATTCTTCTGCAGAATTGAATTATGCATCATCTAATATTAAACAGAGCTAGTTTAGACAAAATTTCAAATTGAAAGAAAAAACTGTGTTCAAAAGAATTTTGGAATTTTGAAAATTAGCTGTCAATTGAACATAACATTTTCTATCTTTATAGACAAAAATTATTGCTATTCTCATTTATTTTCATCCGTTACTCCTTTTTTTCTATGAGAATACAGGGTGTGGGTGTGGGTGTCGGTGTGGGGTGTGGGTGTGGGTGTCGGTGTGGGGTGTGGGGTGTGGGTGTGGGTGTGGGGTGTGGGGTGTGGGTGTGGGTGTTGATGGGTGGGGTGTGGGTGTGGGTGGGTGTGTGTGTGGGTGTGGCTGTGGCTATGGCTGGGTGCGGGTTTGGGTGTGGTTGTGGGATGAGTGAATATGCGTGTGAGTAAACAATAAACAATCACACCCACATACCCACACCCTTTTCGACACTTAGAAAATTGATTAAACAATTTTCAGATAACATATGAAGAAAACTTATAATGCACAATTCAATGCATCTTTATCTTCTATTTCGAACGATGAACACTATACCTCTCTACCTTATTCTTATCACAAGTTATTTGAAAAAATCACTCGGCCTTTTTTTTGTAAATAGGTATTAATATATCCGTCATATGTGAGAGAAAAACATCTCTTATCAAAATTTTATTATTATGATACTAGTTGACGTTTGATCGAATAGCATTGAAAAATAGAGCATTCTTTTTTCTATTACACTATATAGAGAGAAAGTTTCTAAAAGATTTTTATAAGGAATTGCAGTACCTCCATCACTACTTTTGAATCACCCTAAATATTTTCGAAGAAAATACTGAGTGTAGCTTTTCAGTTGAAGTTTTTATGCTCTGCTATCTCTGCTCCCCCCAATGATAGACAATAGTAACCGACCCCTAATTACAGACCTTGGAAACGAGGATTAAATAATACATGTTTACTGCAATATTATTTACCATGTGCTTCAGTGTTGATAATAATAACACTGTTAAATTAAACAAGATAAAATATGAAAAAAAAACAAGCGAATAGCAACGATGAAAACAAAACATAGGATGTCGAGAAACAAGAACGAAATTTTTGTTTAAAGTGCAGGAATAGAAAAGACAGCGTTGGTTGTCAGTCGATCATCGTTAGAAAAAGAACGATCGTCTTTTAGAGGTTGCACACTTTGCGTATTTTTCATTAGTCTAATGAAGTTTAAGAAGATAAGTAAGTTCCATATTTCAGCCGCCAATGAGTTGCGCTAACCAGATTTTTGTGTAATTGACTCGTCCGCAAAATTTTCTACGAATTTTTGTTGCTTGCATACATTGGCGCATACTAGATGTGCTTTACACATTGTGAGAGAATAAATTAATGCTATGATTTGAAAAAAATAAAAGAAATCTTTTTTTTTTTCTTCACTTGAAATATGCTTACATTTTATGTCTCACTGATATCAAGCAAACAATCAAAAAGGCATTTTTCTGGGTTCTTTTTTTTTGCGCCGTACTGATGTCTATGGCTGCTTGTGTACATAAAGCAATCTGTGCAACAAAAGTCGAACTGATAGTTTATATTCCCCATGCATTTGTTGCTATTGATCAAAAGAGAAAAACCAATCGAGTTTCAAATAAAAAGAATTATTTTTCTCGAAAATGCTTGTATAAAAAGTGTATAGAACGACGTGTACTTATCAACATTCGTTTGCTTGTATTTCAAAACAATCATCTTGGCAAGGCAAAGTAAGAAACTGCTCGTGATATACTCGAAAAAGATAGGTTTATTACTGAACTCTAAGAGTTTTATATGTTTGCGCCGAACGATTTTTGGTTTAGTGAAATGAAAATCGATTCGTACTTTTCGCACAGTACCTTTTTTGGGTTCAGCAGAATTTAAAAGATTTCGCAGTTTTCGCACCAGACCTTCTGCAAATTCCGTAGATTTATATATGGTTTTGTACATTATGAGCTAAACTATTGATGGCTTTGTAGAGTTTTGCGAAGATTCGTAACATGTTGACGAAACTATTCTTTGTTTCTCTGATAATGTAAAGATTTCGTCTTTTCTATGCGCAACTATCAATAAATTCGGTAGAGCATGTAAGAATTTGTATTACTTGTACAGAACCATTTGCACTTCTATCACTTATTTAATAGTTCTTTAAATTTTATACGAAACTATCTATCGTTTCCTATGCTTTACACAAAACCTTGCATAGTACGTTAAATATTAAAAGACTTCATATGGTTCCTACAAAACCATGTACGATTTTGCACACTATCACAAATGTCTTTTTCTCACGCTAACGCAGAGTTCATGTTTAGCCTCGTCATTGGATTTAGTAATCTTTATTTGTACAGATAGTATAAACAAATATGAGAACTTACCGCTAGAAATTATGAAAATGAGAAAAAAAGCATCAGGGAGAATTCGATGCGCATACTTCAAAAAAACAAAACAAAACAAAGATACACAATACGAGGGAATCAAAATAGCAAGTTAAAAGGTAAAATTTATTTAGCAAGTCAAGAAAGTAATAAATATTGTAACTAGATTAAAAGAGAACACATGTATAACAGCCAAAACCATGAAGAACTACATGTTACTAAAAACTTATAAGAAGCTGTACTTTGTCGAGAATGGCAGCACTAATCAGAGTGTTGTTATGGCAATTACAAAAGAAAACTAAAAAGCGATAGCATACGGTCAATCCATGAGTGAGGACACATTAACAAACAAGAATCAGAAATTCTAAGGACGATGAACCTAATATTGTGGAAAAGGATTGAACAGGGTTAGTGTACACCCGAACATTTCGAATATTTATCATTTTCTCGATTTTGCATACTAAACTTATACCAGC